TTTTACTTACAGGATATATAATAAGAAAGAAAACTGATCAGAGAAGCCGAAGCAAGAAAGGCTGAAACAAACAAAGGAAAATTAAAATGGAATTTGTGCATGTATGCTCAGAAGACAAACAAAACATTTAATTTCACATAAAATTTGTATAAATCGTCGTCTCCACGACGTAATTTTTAAACAATAAACTGTAACACCGTCGGAAAAATTGATAGTTACACATTGTCTCGACGGTACGAAAAGGCGTATATGTCAGATGTAATTAGTGATGCGATGGAATGTATTCGAATGTTCACTCACACATTTCAGTCAAAAAAGAACTTCTCTTTCTCCTTCTGTTCGTCTGAAAAGACTAAACAGAATGATCAAAAACTTGGACTATATGTGCTTGAATCATCGAATGTTCTTCTTCAAATATTCAGCTCTTATGGGTGTTCATTAGCCTTTTCTAATTGATATTGGAATTTATTCCGAAATGTTCATGAAAAATCTAAATAGGACCATATACAGCTGAGTAAATCCATATGAAATATATCATTATTACATCGGCTGTCACCGCAAATCGTTAGACCACCTTCATTTTGTAGAGCTGAGCCTGCTTGCGCGAATCGCCGGTCCGGGGATGACGCCCGTAAACATTATAAGGACTTTACTGTTCCAGGGGAACAGTCCACTTTCCTCCTTTTCCAGCAGATTTTGTCTAACTTACATCGGTTCCTGTTAGTCTATTTCCCAAGATAAATTCTCGTGACTGATTTCAAATGAGAGAGCGTCTCAAATACTGTATATTTTGGTGGAGTAAAATAGTGGCCCTAGAAGAATGTTTGAACTATGGATCGTTGAAAACTAGTGGTATTTTTGGGAGATTTTCTCTGTATTGTACACATCAAATTCGATGAAAATAATTTAGTATATCTGTTTTTGATGCTGAATTCTACTATCATATTTGCAGAATCTATTTCGGTTTTGTTGAGATGTGAAACTCGGATGTATGCCTAGGGTTTGTCATTTTATATAAAACTTTTACCGTTTTTGACACGTAAGAGGCATTAGGCATGCACCGGTTACGGTTAACCGTAACCGGTCATAACCGTAACCGTAATAACCGGTCGAACGGTTAACCGTAACCGTTGCATGCCTAACACTAATGCACTTAAAATGCAGAAAATTGGTCACTAACGTACACGCGGAAATCAGTGTCATTAGTAGCAGGATACAAAATAATCTTAATCAACTTTCGCTCAAAGAATCCAAACAAGATTGTATATACTATTCTTTCTTTCCAAATAAATTATTCTTTATTTTTCTACAATCAGTACACGAAGCTGTTATGAAGCGGTTATTTATGGTTACGGTTAACCGTTCAACCGGTTATTACGGTTACGGTTATTTACGGTTACGGTTAAACGGTTAATAACTGTAACCGTTGCGTGCCTAAGAGGCATATTACAATGGAGAAATCACAAAGCTGTTCAATCATGTTCACAGATTGACGTCGTCTGAATAAAATTGCAAAGGTTAATTTAAAAATCACACAGATTCTGAAAGCAAACATGGTCTTCTATAAAATGCAAAGTAACTCGAAATCCTGTGGTTACACAGATAGACAATAGAAGACAACAACGGTTCTGATTATAAGCAATGTATTACGCTTCGGATATATACAGCCTCTAATTTTCTCAAAGGGTTTTCGAAGAAAAAACGTGACATATTGGCTGCGTAGATGTTACGACCTTGAGGTCGTTAGATGGGGGTCAATAGATCACAAAACTGTCGTCCTTTGATATACAAACCTTTTACTTTCTCGTTTATGTAGAATAAATAAAAAGGTTTGAATTATTAGGCCTTCACATTCAGGACCCTCGCTGGTCGCGATAAACCTGGACGGGTTTCTTGATACGAGGATGGAACATCTCTTTGGGAAGCTGTTGAAATCATATCGTACCAATCGCAGGTAATTAGGCATGTAAACAAATTTCTCTTTGATGTTGTAAAGAGAAAACATCTATACAACTTATGTTTTCTTCTCTATATATTTTTGTATTAACTGCTGTCAAAATTGATTTTCGAATATGACACTGCATATTAACTCCGCTTACAAGTAGTATTAGTTATGCGGTTTTGACACATATGCATTCCAGAGCTTTTGAAAGTAGCATTAGAAAGTTTAAGAAGAATTTTCAAAACAAAATCAATATTCACTGTTATGCATGGGTCTATTTTACTTATTACGTAATCATCCTTTGGTTAGTTTAGCTTAACTTAATATTTTAACACATTGGGCACGATGTGGCCCACCGGTGGGCCACGCTATGATTTAACGAGTAACTGTATAGGAAAACACTTTCTTTCGATTTTTTCTTAGGTGCGAGATTAAAATCATCAAGTGTCTGTTCTTTTGCGTTCAGCTCTATATGTGCGCCCTTTATTCCATAGGATAATGTTTCTCATTAAAACACTCTAGACAGAAAAACTTCTCGCAGTCAGAACAGAAAGTTTTCACTTTTTTTGCTGTCGCATAGCTCGCTTCTCTTGAGTATTGTGTCCTTCCCTTCGCATAACAGCCAGTACATCGTCTGCCAACATTGCGCGTAGAGCCTTCCTTTTCTTCGAGCTTATGATCAACGAGTTTGCGCTTGGAATGACTTGCTGATTGTTGTATCGGACCAGGTTTCAGCTTCTCGATTGACGCACCAAGGAGTAAAGATCGTACAAGACTTTCTCGAAACTGTAAAATCTGTATGTTGCTTGCTGCATAATTTTCCTTGTAAATCAGATAACTATTAACCACTGCAGTTCCAAATATCAATTCAAATGCTACCTTTCTATACCATTTTATTGTCGTCTCAGACATGTATGATATGTTGACAGTTGATCTGATAAACCAGTACCTTGTCTGCCCTCATTGTAATCGAGAACAACTTGCGGCTTCGTGATGCGTTCATTCACTTTATTGGTTTTTCCAGTGCTCACCACAGTTGCTGAATGAGATGGCTTAGTAGATATCATCGGAACGTCTCTTTTATCTTTCCACTTGATCAATTTTACACCATTTTCGTTCTGTAGCCCATAAACTTCACCATGCTTGAGCTTTTTCTGAACAACCTTATGTCTTGATCCAGCACGATTATTTCTCATTGTTCCAGTAAGATACGTGTCCTGTTTCAACAGACGTTTTGCTAGAGAAATACTAGTGAAGCATTTATTAGCAGTGAACTATTCATGAAAATGGCATCTTGAACAAATTTTATAAGAAAACTGAATCGTGCCCAATGTGTTAACGAACGAACGAGAAGAGAAAGAAAACAGGTGGAAAAAAGTGGTTGAAAATACGAACACACACTGCTTTCTTCTCGCGCTATATTTGATACACATGTGAAAAAGTTTCTTTGACACTCTCAAACAAGGATATAACGCCCATTACTGTATATGGGCACCAATATAAATGTGGTTGATAATAATTGAACAATTAATTTATAATTTTCTCTCACTAATTGTACTTAATGCACTTTTCGTTTATGATAGAGAATACGAACGCAGAAAATAGTGTTCATCAGTACAATCATAAACCCCAGAGAACGTACTTGATGCAAGTACTTGATTACTTGCTAAGTACTTGGTTTCTTAAGGTAATTGACATACTGATTTCGCCATGTTTTACCCGGTTTTCGCTTCGGGAACATAATGCTTTAATTCTGCTTTAGGAAAGTTAACAGGTAGATGTAAACTGCAAAAAGTTCGAATATAGAAGTGATCTTCGCACCTTTTTCTGAAATAAGTGCCTTGTTTACAATCTCTTTTTGTCTTAGATGTCAGTTCTGCTTATTTACTACTTATAAACACTCTTTTTTAAACTAAAAATAGGGTTAAAATCAGCAGTTGCTTGGATAAGACAGGTTAGGATCGCTCATCACAATCTATTACAAAACAATCCAAGTACTTGCAATTTTACTGGAAAAGTGCTTGAACAAGTGCTTTTCAAGTGAAAAATCAAGTACTTGCACGCTGGACAGGTACTTACAAGCAAATTTACGTCTGGAAAAAAGACAATTACCAGCTTTATTACGCAAGCGAAGTACTTGGGCTCAAGTACGTTCTCTAGGGAAGGCTGACAATAAGTTATTCATAATACCATCGAATGTGCATAAAAATCGTTCATGTTGAAAACACGCACCATTGGCCGCGGATACGCTATAATCAAACTTATTTTGACATCCAGAATAGATGAATACAAAGACCACGTAAAACAACGAATGCTGCCGTGAACAAGGATGATAATGGCTCAGACGTTATTGGCTCTGAAGAGTTAGTTGACCAAAGGAAACAAATTCTCAGTGTCAACCAATTCATTGTTTTTCTCGAGAAATTCCTTATTACTAGATTATTTGTTTTCGGTTGTGGCAGTCTCACTCTCGTTACTAATGGTTTATAAGTACTTTTAACGTTTGTTCGCGATGTCATCCTTGATGTCGGAATAATAATAAAGTAATAGCATGATGGCATGCATTTGCTTTATTAAATGTGTGATCTGAAAGATTTTTTTAAATAGTATTCGCTACCGAACTGTAGTGTCACGACCTAGATCACGCAAACATCTCGGTTAGCATTGAAAGTGTCTATTACACTATAACGAAATTGTAATCATAGTTGTTTCAATTATATTGCTCATTTATATGATTTCATACTCAACAAACGAAAAGGATTCATTATTTTTTCGCTTTCGATTTGATGACTTTGCTGTTTTCAAGTCACCAGGATTCGTTAATTTATTTTATTAATTCATATTGTATTCTTATAAAATTTAAAATTCTGGCTATTCGAACATAGAATCATCAAATCGAAAGCGAAAAACTAAGGAATCTTTTTCTTTTCTGAGCATGAAATCATACAAATGCGCGATAAGATTGAAAAAACTATGATTATAATTTAATTAGATTACAGCAGATATTTTCATTGTTAACGAGATGTTTGCATGATCTAACATTATTCCAAGATTAAGAATGGCATCGCGAACAAACGTTAAAAGCACTCATAAGCCATTGATAACAAGAGTTCGGCCGTCACAACCGAAAGCAAACGAAATAGTAGTAAGGAATTTCTCGAGAAAAATAATGAACTGGTTGGCATGAGAATGTATTTCCTTTAGTCAACTAACTCTACAGAGTCAACAACGTCTGAGCCATTATCGTCTTTGTCCACGGCAACATTGATTACAGATTTGTCTGATTCTTTCGCAGTAGCTACAAAAGCCAAGTATGTCGATCCATACATTCCTCGCTTATATTCATCGATTCCAGGAATGTCTCGACCAACAACTGGCAGACAAGCATCCTCCCCAGTATTGAAATTAGATACTGGCAGACAAGCATCCTCCCCAGTATTGAAATTAGATACTGGCAGACAAGCATCCTCCCCAGTATTGAAATTAAATACTGGCAAAGAGACAGCTAATACAAGGTAAGTTGGTAGATATTTGTCTTTCAATAAACAAACAAACGTAATCGTTTATTTTTTCAGTAAAAAAGCAACATTTTACAGTAAAATTTCTCTCCCATATAAAATAATCGGTGTCATCGCACTACTCTTGATCTTGTGTGCTGCCGTCATTCCACCAGTCATTCTATTGACACGTAAAAGTTCGTCAACAGGTGAGGCCACCAGTAATTTTCATTTGATGCAAATCACATATAAAAGGGTTGGATACATCTGTGTCCCATATGGTGGCCACTGCTATAAAAGAAACGGTTTACCTATAAAGGCGACTATATGTTTTAGTGCCATTTTTTACCACAAAACAGGGTATGCATTGGCTTGTAGAGAAAAACTTGTTCTATCCAATGTCGAATCTCACCGTAAGAGAAAATTAAGGTGATCTCCTCGTTTTTAGAAAACATTTTCATTTTATAGTTAAATATTTTACAGTGTAGAGTTAGGTGCCCTCTACAAAACAAGACCGCTCTCAGCTCTCCATGTGCTTCCTTTAAGAGGATACGAAGTTTTCAAAGTTTGTTACTTCACGCTTAGAAAACCCTATTCTTGGTTTGACATTTGGATAGAAAATTAAAAAAAGCCAATGTATATGCCATTGTGTGATACAAAATAACACGGAAACTTATGGCCTCATCTCTATGCTTAAGCGGTCAGTACGAAAACTGTTTTACTATTTCTTATCAAACATGTAAAGCACTCTCTCAAGCTCTGTTAGTGCAAGGAAAAACTAAAGAATAAAGTTTGCTCTTATTTGTTGATTTTATTTTAGCGAATACTACTAGTGCCTCGGTTTGTAGTGTTACAACTTGTATCAAGTCAATAACATCATTTCATGAGAATTCAATTGCTTATTGGCCATTTGATAGCACGACGACTGATCGTAATTCATTATACACTGGCCTGCCATTCAACTCACCAACCTATTCAGGCAGTCCAATAATTTCTGGTCAATGCATCCAGTTTGATAGTACCGGTACTCAATATGTCAGCATGCCATTCATCGATCTCACTTACAAGAGTTTCACAATTCAAGCTTGGATTTATCCACGAAGTATCACCGGTGAGCAGGGAATATTTGGAGAGTGTGCATCCACATTACTATCTGACCAATGTCTTTCACTAAACATAAAAAATGGACATTTACATATGAGTTTAAATCTCGATAATGAATTATTTGGTTCTTCTGTACTAACTACATCAAACTGGTATCACGTTACTTTTGTCTACGATTACTCTCTCCTTCAACAATTTATTTATTATAATGGCGTTCTCGACGCATCATCAGCTTCACTCGGCGTTTCCGGTCCCTATGTCGGAAGCACGGGTAGCTTTACGGTGGGTTACACCAACTATTCAAACAGTTGGTATTACGGTTTGGTAGACAATCTGATTATTAGTAATTACGCAAAATCGAGTTGTCAAATTTTGAATGATGCAACCCTGGCTGGTTACTATTCATTCGACTCGACGACTCAGTCTTATCTTGACTATGGCATAAATTTTATTAATGGTTTTACTTCTCCACAAACCACAAGTGTAACCGGTCGACTGAATCAAGCACTTTTGTTCAATTCAAGTAGTGCCTATTTTATAGCCCAAGTCTTCAGCATACATAATTCAAATCCACCATTTACAGTCGCGTTTTGGATGAGTCTAACGAGTATCACTAGTGGAACAATAATACACGCATCTCAATTATCAACTGGTGCTACTGCAGTTTGTTTTGATCTGCTCGTTCTAACTTCGAGCGGAACTCTCGCTGCACAAACATATTATACCTACAATGGAAATAACATAACGACAATTCAGACTTCGGTTTTGAAACTGAATTCATGGACACACGTAACATTATCCTATTCTCAGCCAAATGGTATGAGATTGTATTTGAATGGAGCATTAAACGCCTATACAACTGGTACTCTATCAATGAATTATTTTAATACTCCACTTTTCCTAACTCTTGGTAACAGCATGCCAGGAGGAGGTGTTCCATCTGGTTGTTATGTTGGTAGCGTTTCAATAGCATCGGGCCAACTTCTGGGTACTATTGATGAATTATATGTCTATTCTCGAGAACTCAACCAGTACGAAATATGTACATTAGCTAATCCATGATGACTAATTATGTTTTCTTAATTACAAATATATTTGTTATGAACTGAAATTATATGTAAAATTAGAAAAACTTTCGCGTCTAATTTCTGTATAGTGAAGGATTTGTTTTAATATTCTTTTGGGTGTCATAGAGACTAATAATTCGAAACTAAGAAAATCATGCGAATAGAACGAGCTCATGATTTAAACACTCTCTCCGATCAATAGGCAATGTGCACAAGACCAAAATGCTCACTGCCTCATCCTTCAAAAATATTCCCGTTTATAACATATCTAACTCTTTTTCTATAAAGAATAACTAGCTTTAAGAATCCATTTATTGACGGAAAAAATTTTAAAATGGTAGAAGGGTCATCAATTTTGACCTTGTTTGTATGAAACTTGTAGAATTTTCTTTGTACAAATTGCAATTACAATTTGTACATTGTGTTGTACATACAAATTCTAAAACAAAATGTCTCTGAAACTCCTGCAACTGAGAAAATAGTCTTCAGAATTACATATTTTGGTGCAACCAGTCAGATCTATGGAAAAGGAATTGCAATGGCAGTAAACAAACTCTATCCTAAAAAACCGTCAGAATTATTTATGATATTAATACCAAAATTGGATCTGTGAACAAAAAATCGAGCCGATTTTCGTTCTTATGCGGACTTCACCTTTCTCGCGGTGAAACTTCGCAACGGGGAGTAATAACCGCATCTGGAACCACGAAAAAAGATGAAATTCTGTAACGAAAATTTCATTTTCGTTTTCGTCACAGAATTTCATCCTTTTTCAACGAAAATGAAATTTCGTTACGGGCGCAGTTTTGCTCCTTTTTCTGATCCAGACATTCTCAGACAAAACCAATTAGATATTCTGAAAGCCTGAAGAAAATTCTACAAGTTTCATACGAACAAGGTCTTCCTGTGATGTCTAATTTTAGAGAAATTATCAAAGTTCTAAAAGCTCCGAAAAAAATCGTCCATTTTTGGAAATTCTGTTACGGCCTTTATTTTGCCTATAACTTTTGATCAAGTGAACGAAATCAGCTCAAAATTTTCTTTGTAGTAGGACCAGACGGGATACACATTTGATACAAATTTCACTTTATCTATTCTGTGCTTACCGAGATCGAGAGCGTACCAGTTAGAAAAATGAAATTCCGTTACATTTGGACATGTCGCTAAGAGAACTTCAAAATGAAACAGAACAAAGGATTTTGATATTTTTCTTAGTAATACGGATTTTCAAAATTGAAGACCCTTCTCCTATTTTAAAATTTTTTCCGTCAAGAAACGGATTTTTAAATCTACACCTTACGATGGAAGGTCCCCAACTGTCCGATCGCTTTCGAACCGAAACCTAGTGGACTATAGATAGTCAACCATGCTGATTCCGAATATCAACATGAGACGTGCTGCTAGACCTCCAGAGAGTGGTTTTCTGGAAAACCAGTTTTTCAGAAACTCTAAAAAATAACCAAAACCTTCCTTAATGATGCAGGATTGTA